TTCGAGACTGACGAACGGACACCGCTAGATCGACTCCAAATGTCCTGAAACGGATTTGGTCCAAAGAAACCTAGGTTCTAAAACCGTTATTTCGATGAGGCACGTTTTGGTCGTATCAAATGATAACGTAACTTGTAGTAAAATTTGATGAAGAATATTTTTGTCTTTAACGTCATCCTCCTGAAATGATGATTTGTTGCACATTTTTGCACAAAATCGCGCAAAGTACGGCTTTAACCCTAAAATGTATCTTTTTGTATGAATTCCTGGCGTTTAGGTAAAATTAGACCTTTGACGTCTTACGAATAATATTGTGAAATTTTTTGATTTGCTACGATTCCGTTCAAATTGAGTTTTTAACCATATTTTTTTAAAAAAAAAAAGGACTAAAAAGAACCCTGAAATATTTTTCGGATTTTTATCTGCAATTATTTATATTAGTATTGTATAAAGTGGAATTCTTTGGTCCGATATAACTGGTATCCAACACATATTTCAATATTTTATAATATTGGACCACTCTTTCGACATCTCTTCCATAAAGGGTCATCATTTTCAATAAACTTACAAAGGCTACCCTCAGCCTCATCTCATAATCATCTCACCTGTCTACAAAACCGACTGATACTTTTTAACTTCTTACACAAAAGTTATGGTCCATTTTACCCTCTTAGTGTTATCCCTTGACAATCCAAATTGGTAGGCTTCTGCCATGTCTTAAACGCCTACTCCATGTGACCTGTAGAAATCAGGCAAAATCAGGAAATTTTGGTCCATTTCAACATTTTGCGATCATCTTTACACACAATGGACTTTTATTCTGATCCTAACCCCAACTCCAAGAAAAATTTCGTGAGAATCGGGCCACAATAGCGACCTGTAGCATGATTACAAATTAATATGGATAGACGGATGGACGGACGGACATGCATAGCTAGATCGACTCAGATCGGTGATATAGGACTAATATTTCGAGGTATTACACATTTTTATACCCTCCACCATACTATGGAGGGTATATTAACTTTGTCATTCCGTTTGTAACTTCTCGAAATAATCATGTCAAACCCAACAAAGTATATATATTCTTGATCAGCCTAAAATTCTAAGTCGATTTAGCGATGTCCGTCTGTCTGTCCGTCTGTCTGTTGTAATCACGCTATCTTTCGAACGAATTGAGATAGAAGGCTAAAATTTTGCACACATGTTTATTTTTCCAGTAGGCAGGTTAAGTTCGCAAATGGGCCATGTAGGTCCACGTTTTCATATAGCCCCTATATAACGGTACCTCCGGATATTCGGTATTTTGATGATTTTAGCGACATTATTCAACGGAACTGTTTCAAATTTGGTTACTACAACCTAAGACAGAAAATTGTCACGTCTTCGTATAGCCCCATATAACGGTACCTCCCTATGTTCGATATTTTGATGATTTTATCGTCATTATTCACCTGAATTGTTTCAAATTTGGTATTTGAAGTTCGTAATGGATACTACAGCCTATGACAGAAAATTGTCTGTGCAGGTCCACGTCTCCATATAGCCCCCATATAACGGTACCTCCCAATATTCGGTATTTTGATGATTTTAGCGACATTATTCACCAGAATTGTTTCAAATTACGTCTTTAGAGTTCATAATGGGAACTTCAATCTGTGACAGAAAATTGTCTATACAGGTCCAGGTCTTCGTATAGGCCCCATATATCAGTACGTACCCTATATTCGGTATTTTGACGATTTTAGGTACAATACTCACCGAAATTGTTTGAGATGTCGTATTTGAAGTACGTAATGGATGCTACAGCCTGTGACAGAAAATTGTCTATGCTGGTCCAGGTCTTCTCACAGCTCCGATATAACTGTATCTCTCTATATACGATATTTTTATGATTTTAGCTATATTATTGACCGTTTAATTCAAGTTTCGAATTTGAATATGGTAATGGCTTATGACAAACAATGCCTATGCAGGTCCACGTCGTATACACTCCAATATAACTACTATCTTCGGTATTTTTAAAATTGTAACAGGTTTTTTTAAGGTTTTTTTTTTTTTTGAAAATTACCAAATTTGTTCCAAATGGTGGAGTTATTCAAAATTTGGCCCGACGAACTTACAGCTTTTTTACTTGTCATTTCATATATTTTAATAAACTTACATAGGCTGAGGGTATACATCTGTCGACAAAACCGACTGATACTTTTTAATTTGTTACAGTAAAGTTATGGATAATACTAAGAGGGTAAAATAAAAAATGCCTCTTAGTATTATCCGATGATCATCCAAATTGGTATGCTTCTGCTGTATCCTACCTATGTAACCTGTACAGCAACTGCAAAATCACGAGATTTTGGTCCATTTCAACACCTAAATATTTTGCGATCATCTCCACACACAATGGGGTTCTATTCTGAACCTAACCCCAACTCCAAGCAAATCTCGTGAGAATCGGCCACAATAGCGAGCTGTAGCATGATTACAAATTAATATGGATAGACGAAGATAGGACTAATATTTCGAGGTACTACAAACTTAAATAAAAACAAGTTCGGCCGGGCCGAACTTTTAATACCCTCCACCATTTGGCACAAATTTGGCAATTTCCAAAAAAAATAAATCCGTTAAAAATTCTGTTAAAGTCTTAAAAATACCGAATGCCTATATGACGACGTGGACCTGCACAGGCAACTTTTGTCATAAGTTATTACAATATTTAAATGCGAAACTTGAAGAAAAATCTGTTTATAATGTAGCTAAAATCATCAAAATACCGAATATAGGGGGGTACGGTATATGGCGGCTATACGAAGACGTGGACCTGCACAGACAATTTTCTGGCATTGGACGAACTTCAATATAACGTCGCTAAAATCATTAAAATACCGAATATCGGGGGGTACCGTTATATGGGGGCTATACGAAGACGTGGACCTACATGGCTCATTTTCTTTTTTATGCTGTAGTATCTATTACGAACTTCAAATACCAAATTTGGAACGATTCCGGTAAATAATGTCGCTAAAATCATCAAAATACCAAATATCGGGCGGTACCGTTATATGGGGGCTATACGAAGACGTGGAGCTGCACAGATAATTTTCTGTCTTAGGCTGTAGTATCCATTACGAACTTCAAATGCCAAATTCGAAACAATTCCGGTGAATAATGTCGCTAAAATCATAACGAATATCGGGAGGTACCGTTATATGGGGGCTATATGATAACTTGGACCTACATGGCCCATTTACGAACTTAACCTGCCTACTGACAAAATATACACGTGTGCAAAATTTTAGCCATCTATCTCAATTTGTTCGAAAGATATCGTGATTACAACAGACGGAATAACAAAATTATTATACCCTCCATAGTATGGTGGAGGGTATAATAAATAAACCCGACACATAGTCTAGTAGGGTATTAAAATCAAAGCAGTAGCATCTCCCAATTGGTAATATTAACGGGACCTTAATTTGAACTTTTTGTACCATTACAGTACGATTTTTGGCAAACCCAGCCTTATCACACACCTTTGCCTCCAGGTCGACCCTGAGCAAAGATTTAAAAAATCTAGCTTAAGCTGGGACGTCTGGGCATTGAAAAATGTTCAGGAAGTGAGAGAATCAACCAGTCACCCAAGTCCAACCCGAAATACCCGAAAATGTGCAACCCTTTGCATTTTTGTAAAATATTGGTTTGAGGTATTGATTTTTAAACACCTCAAATTTTAGTGTCCGCAACTAAGTTTTTTTTTTTTTTTTTTTTTTTTTTTTTTGAAATTCCTCACTTTTTTGCTTTTATCCAACCATAAAACCGAAGCCATTCACACCTTCATGATTTACGGTGGCACAATGCAGTTTACACATCCCACCCGCACATTAGCCAGCCGCGATGGAAATGAGATCGATGATCAAATGCGATCACAATGCGTTACATCTAATCAAATAGATAAGCAACGGATACGCCGGCTCCCCTCTGGCTTTGTGGCTAGCAAAAAAAAAACAAATAACAGAAGCGGTTGCTATGACTGCAGTCAGTTATATTTTGGCTGTTGCTGTTGTTGTTGTTGTTGCTGGTGCTGGCGCTGCTGCTGTTTTATTGATGGATAACAAACGTTGTTTGATGGATGTTGGTTGGTATTGCCAGGGCCACGCCTTAATTAAATAAGAAATTAAATTGAACTTGACACACAAACGGCAAATGGTGGTTGGTATTTCCCCCTCTGAGCCGCAGAGCAAGCGAGCGAACGAGCGATTCACTTGAATCGATTAAAGGTTGAAAATTAGCCAAAAAAAAAAAAAACGAAGAAGAAAAAGCAAACGGTGATATCTAGCGATTTTGGTTTTATATCTTTCGGATTTTTGGTCTTTGATCCAAACCACAAGATGAAGAGGAGGTAGAAGATGATCTTTGGCGGAGATGATGCTGATGTTTCTGTATTACATCCATGAATGAGAAAACAAGTTTTACGCTGCTTATCGATCGATCGAACAATCGATTGATGATGGCCATACATATTCAGTTATTATTTGGTGTTAATGTTTTTTGTCTGTCTGTCGGTAGGTCGGTCGCTCGGTCGTTCGTTCGATCCACTGCCTGGTTGTCTGATTAAATGGAATTTACTTGTAGCAGTAAATATCATCATGCTGTGAAAACTTCATACTCATCTGCATGTTCATGTTCTTTTGCATCCATCCAACCAACCGACCAGCCATCCGACCATTCATGGTCGTATCAACCCACAACATGTCCACAATTTTTATTATCATCTTTTTTTTTTCGCTGTTTTTTTTTTTTTTTTTTTTTTTTTTTTTGGGCGAACAATCCCTTTTGCCTGAATTTTTTTGACTCCAATGTATTTGTAAACAAAAATGGTACTCGTTTCCAAAATCCCAACAAAAACAACAACAACAACAACGTGAGCCATACAGCTGTGGCTGGACAATTGCTCATGCCTTGGAGATTATGTATAAAATGCCGGTAATGAGAAGCTGTAGTTAACATTAATTGTCTAGTACTTGCACAGTTAACAGCCAAGCAGCCGATCGATACCGTTCTCTGCCGTTGCCAATTTTTAACGGATTTTTTTTCTCAACTCAAAACAACAACTTCGCCAAATCACAACAACACCAGCATCACCATGAAATTCACCGTTGCCGTTTTATTTGTTGCCATGTTCGCCTGTGTCTTGGCTGCCCCACCCCAGCAAGAGGCCCAGGTATTACGTTACGATTCGGATGTACAACCCGAAGGATACAAGTTTGCGTAAGTATGAATGAGACATGGGCCGACCATCCAACCAATCAACCAACCAACTGGTTTGGTTGGATGTATTTGGTTCACTGGGCCAAGGTGAAACCGAACAAAAAACAGCAACTCATTATTCTTCTTCATTTCATACGCCTTGCCTTTTACTCTGTTCCCTTTCGTTTTTCGTTTTTCTTTTAGTGTTGAAACAAGCGATGGCAAATCCCACCAGGAGGAAGGTCAGTTGAAGGATATTGGCACCGATCATGAAGCCATTGTTGTACGCGGCTCATTCTCCTATGTCGGCGATGATGGCCAACAGTATACCGTTACCTATTTGGCTGATGAGAACGGTTTCCAACCCGAAGGTGATCACTTGCCTCGCCTGTAAATGCTTCGCCCGAAACCTCACCAAGAAATAACTGTGTTCATTTTGTGTTAACTAGGTTTAGATATTCGATTTTTTTCGGAAATTTCATATTTTAGTTTGTAAATAAAAATTGTTCGATAATAAATTGTGATTTTTAAGTCAAGGAAAATATAAAATATGGGAATTTTTGGGTAATAACGGGAGATGCGAACATTTGCAGAATATTTTCAGAATGATAATAATCTGGACCAAAATTTGAAGTAATTGAAGTATAATCTGGACAAAAATTTAAGAAGTGAGTAAGTAATTGAAGAAAAGTCACCGGACCCATCTACTGTAGAGAACATGGACCCGATGGTCATCTAGTGAAGAGTAGATGGGCCCGTAGAGTAGATGGGCCCGGTTACTTCAATTTTTGTCCAGATTATACTTCAATTACTTCAAATTTTGTTCAGATTATTATCATTGTACACTAGATGGCCACCGGGTCCATATACTCTACAATAGATAGCTACCGGGTCCATCCACTGATAGCCACCGAGTCCATCTACTCTACTCTGGGCACATCTACTCTTTTGATTTTTCGCCTTAAAAATGCTTTACATCTGTGCAAGGTTTTTCTACTACAGGAATTAAATAAAAACCAGTTAAAAAACAGTAAGTTCGGCTGGGGCGAAATTTGAATACCCTATACCATTTGGAACAATTTTGGAAATTTTCAAAAAAAAACAATTCTTAAAAAATTCTGTTAAAATTTTAAAAATACCGAATATAGCCGTTATATTGGGATCTATACGACGTTGGCCTACATAGGCATTGTTTGTCATAAGCCATTACAATATTCAAATTCGAAACTTGAAATAAAATAAGTAAAAAGCAGAAAGTTCGACTGGGCCGAGCTTCGAATAACCTCCACCATTTGGAACGTAATTGGAAATTTTCAAAAAAAAAAAAAAAATCCTTAAAAAATTCTGTTAAAATTTGGTGTGCGAAGACCTGGACCAGTATAGACAATTTTCTGTCACAGGCTGTAGCATCCATTACGAACTTCAAATTCGACATTTCAAACAATTTCGGTGGGTATTGTACCTAAAATCGTCAAAATACCGAATATAGGGAGGTACTGATATATGGAGACTATACGAAGACCCGGAGCTGCATAGACAATTTTCTGTCAAAGGCTGGAGCATCCATTACGAACTTCAAATACGACATCTCAATCAATTTCTATGAGTATTGTACATAAAATCGTCAAAATACCGAATATAGGGAGGGCCTATACGAATACCTGGACCTGCATAGGCAATTTTATGCCATAGGCTGTAGTATCCATTACGAACTCTAAATACGTAATTTGAAACTACTCCGGTGAATAATGACGCTTAGATCATCAAAATATCGAATATAGGGAGGTACCGTTATATGGGGGCTATACGAAGACGTGGACCTGCACAGACAATTTTCTGTCTTAGGCTGTAGTATCTATTATGGACCTCAAATACCAAATTTGAAACAATTCCGGTGAATAACGTCGGTAAAATCATCAAAATATCGAATATAGGGAGGAACCGTTATATGGGGGCTATACCAAAGCGTTAACCTATAGATGCAATATTTTGCCACACAAACTGGGATCCGTTATGACATACAAATACCAATTTTCCGACAAATCCGAGAAAAAATGTGGCATAAATTATCAAAATACCGAATATCGGGAGATACCGTTATATGGGGACTTTAGCAAAACGTGGACCGATATATCTCATTTTCAATACCAACCATCCTAGATACAATACAAATTGCTCTGCTAAATTTTCAGGCTCTACGCTCTAAATTATTGTAGGCTGTATCATGATTTCAACAGACAGACGGACAAAGTTAATATACCCTCCTTTCCAAGGTGGAGGGTATAAAAACATTGTTAAGGCTCTTGCAAAATGCTTAAAAATCTAGAATATCTTGTTATTGCAGGCGTATGATGTACGCCGACACTTATACGCCCTGAAGTATGTTTCCTTTTAATAGGGCTTAATTCTTATGAAATTCACATTTTTGTACTCTCAGCCATATGGCTACAGAGGATATATATCGTTTGATAGGCTAAAGCATGCCTCATCGAAATAACGGTTTTAGACCCTAGTTCTCTTTGGTCCAAATCAGGACAGGACATTTGGAGTCGATCTAGCGATGTCCGTCCGTCTGTCTGTCTGGCTGGCTCATGCGCACGACACTTTCCGAAGGGAGTATCCAATTTGGTACAAACTTGGTATATAATTATCAAACTTAGATGGAGTTCGGAGATGGGCAATATCCGCCCACACTTTCTGGTATATTTTGCTACACAGAAAGAGAAACGAAAGAGAAATGGACAATATAGGTCCACTCCATAAAGTACCTCCTCAACACATGGTCAAAATATTGAATAATTATATATCTTATAAAATGTGATGTAAGATTCCGATTGTCTTCAAACTAGAAAATAGGTTATATCGGCCCACTCCTTTTGGTACCTCCCACACAACGGGTCAAAATCTGGAATACCCATGGAACTCATAAAATGCGAAATAAGCATCTGATGATTTTCAAGCTCGTCACACCTTGAATATTTCTAAAAACACAAGTTCTGTTGGAAAGATGGTATATATCGGCTAACTCCTTCTTGTACCTCCCCCACAATGGGCCAAAAATTTGACTAACTAAAACTTTAATAAAAAGCGAAATAAGCATCCGATTCTCTTCAAATTTAAAACATCTCAATATTTCTACTAACACAATATCTGGTGTGATGATGAGATATATTGGTCCACTTCTTCTGGTACCTCCCCCACAAAGGGTCAAAATTTCGAATAATCATGGTGTTCATAAATCGTAATATGATCATCCGATTCCTTTGAAAATCGACACTTTCTAATACTTCTATCAGCACAAGATCTGCTGTGAAGATGGAATATATCGATCCACTCTTTCTAGTACTTTCCCCACAAAGGGACAAAATTTCGAATTGCCAAAACATCAATAAAAAGCGAAATAAGTATCCGATTCTATTCATATTTAAGACATCTAAATTTTTCTACTAACACAAATTCTAATGTAAAGATGGGATATATTGGTCAACCTCTTCTGGTACCTCCCCCACAAAAGGTCAAAATTTCGAATTACCATAACGTCTAAAAAAGGCATTATCTGTATCCGATTCCTTTGAAACTCGACACATCCTAATATTTTTATCACCACAAGATCTGCTGTGAAGGTGGTATATATCGATCCATTCCTTCATGTAACTCCACGACAAAGGGGCTAAGATTTTAAGTAACAAAACCCTCATAAAATATGATATAAGCCTCCCATTACTTTCAAACTCGGTTGCCCATATTCGACGGACCTTTGGGCCCTTTGGGTCCATTTCAATCCAATTCTTCTGTTGAATGTAAATTTCAACTATTTTGAGAGCGCTCGCGTGGCGTGGTTCAAGGTAAAAATCTGCTTGGACTGACGCTTCAAACGCGGTATGTTATTAAGCGATGTGACATCTCTGCCAAAAGTTATGGCGTTGCCAGATGGGTCCGTCGAATATGGACAACCCTGTATCTTAATATTTCTATCAACACATGTTCTGTTGTGAAGATAGTAGATATCGGGCTACACCTTCTAGTACCTTCCGCACAAAGGGGTTAATTTTTTTTTGAGTAACCACAAAACTCTAATAAAATGCGATATCTGGTGTAAAGATAATACCTATCGGGCCGTCCTTTATGGCATCCCCTCACGAACTTGCGAATTTCTCTTCAAACTTGGTACATCTGAGTATTTCCCTCCTGCTGGTACCTCCCCAATAACGAGGGCCCCATTTTTGAGTAACAAAACGCTTATAAACACGAAATAAGCATCCGATTCTCTTAAAATTTTACACCTCCCAATATTTATACCCAAAAATTATGTGGGAAATTATATATGGATTTCCTATCACGCTGAGTTGATAAAGTTGAGTAAAATAAACCATTACTTTTATGTCAAAACATACGAAAATACATTTAAAGGTCAATGTTGACTATTACAGTGATGCTGATAGCCAATATATCGGATATATATATACAAAATAGGAAAATGATAGATATCGGCCCACCCCTTCTGGAACCTCCCCCACAAAATTCCAAATTTTCTGCACAACCCAATAGATTTATCAGCATAAGATGAAGTGGAATGTCTTAAACCCCACGCATATTTTAATGTTTTCGAAAAATTATCAGAAAAACGAAGGAAGTCGTCGCTACAACTCAAATAGGGTCAACAGTTTGAATAATCATAACGCAAGTCAATTTATTTAAAAAAAAGACAGACATTGGCTGAGGGCATACATCTGTCGAAAAAAAACCGACTGATACTTCCTAACTTGTATATTCTGACGTTAGGATTAGGTAGAATTTAGACGTTTTATGTATACTGACATCCATAGTAAAATTTTAGAAGAAGCAAATTTCGAAAACGTGCTGCGATCCCGTTCAAACAAAGAACCAAAATTATGCACAATTCTAAAATATTGCTTAAGATACTGTATACCTAAAATGTGCCAAATCTAAGGAATTTTAATCCGAAAATGTCCAAGAATGTGAATGAGGTAGGATATTGTCGCCTCTATTTAGGTTACTTGGCGATGTAAACTTTAAAAACGCCTGTCAAAGCGTGTCTTTCTTTGGTTCTTATTTCATAATTTCCTAAATGTTTCCTGAAATTATTAAATGTTTTGCACAGAGTGTTATCATCTCAGTTCTAAGGAAATCCATTATAACTGCTGTCTTCCGAACAACCAACAAATGCAAGAATCACTTATGTTCTCATGAAAAAAAACCTGAACTCATCCCTTTGTCTCTGTATGATATACATATTTACATATGCACTTTAAATTATTTATAATGTCTACACTACCATTATTCTAATTCATACATATATGTATGTATATTTATGTATGCCTGTTTGTAGTATCACATTGCTATTTTTTCATATTTTTTCTTAATTTTGAAACTAGTTGCCAAACTTTACTGGTTGACACTACAACTTCATCATTTGACTAAACCAGATTTTTAGTGTTAATTACTATTTTTTTTTTGTATTTATAATTTTTATTTTTCTTTTTTAATCCTATCTGTT